GGCGCGGGATGGGCCCCGGCGAGCCGTGACCCCTTCCCCGTGTGTCCTCCGTCCCCTGTCTGGGGCTCAGGCTGCCGGGACGAGCCGTGGATGCTGCTGCCGCGCTGGGCGAGCGGACAGGGCAGCGCTGGGCACAGGTGCCAGGGCCAACCTGCCGGTGGCATTTCTGTGGTGGAAAAGCTGGTGGTGAAAAGGCTTTTTGGAACGATTTGAGTTATTCCTGCCATGTCCTGTCGGGTGGTTTCTGTTTGGGGATGAGTTGGTGTTCCTCTCTCCCGGCTGCGCCGCGGGGCAAACGCAGCTGTGCCACGGAGACGCTCGACTTCAGTCTCCTGGGGTTAAAAGGAAGTGAACCCGCAAGGCTTGGCTTTCTTTTCCTTTTTTCCCCCCAAACTGGGAGGGAGGACCCAGCTCATTTGGGAGTCCCAGCGCTGGCCCCTGCCCTGTCCCGGCCCCGCAGCGCTCGGCTCTGGCGGGAGCTGCTTTTTACGCCCCTTCCTCTCGTGTGGACTCTGTCCTTCTGTCTCTGATCGTTCAATGGTTATTTTGTAATGATTTCTGTCTCCTTATTAAAGAAACAAGCTGACAGGAGCTGGTTCCCTCCTGGTCTTGCTGCTGGGGATCACAGGGTGTGAGAGGGGCAGGTCCCAGGGTGGTGAGCCCAGGGATGATGGAGGGATGGAGGTGTGAGTGGAACCCCATGAAGGCCCAGGTCCCCTGAAACATCCAATCATGGAATCATTAAGGCTGGAAAAGGCCTCTAAGATCATCAAGTCCAACCATCCCCCCAGCACTGCCGTGTTCACCACTAAACCACGTGCTCAGGTTCCGTATCTGCACAGCTTTTGAATACCTTCCAGGGATGGTGACTCCACACTGCCCTGGGCAGTTGTTCCAGGGCCTGACCAGCCTTTCCATGAAGAAATTTTCTCAAATATCCAACCTAAACCTTCCCCAGCACAGCTTGAGGCTGTTGCCTCTTGTGCTGCCCCTTGTTCCCTGGGAGCAGAGCCTGACCCCACCTGGCTGCACCTCCTGTCAGGGAGTTGTGGAGAGCAATAGGATCCCTCCTGAGCCTCCCTGTCTCCAGAGTGAGCCCACACAGCTCCCTCTGAGTTGTGCTCTGGGCAGCTTTGAGCCCCAGCCCCTACCTGAGCGTGGCTGGCTCAGTCGTGGGGCACAAGTGGGAAGATATCAAAGGCCCCCAACAAATTCTTCACTCCCAGCACACACAGTCTGGTCCAAATCTTCACATCTGTCCTGCCTCACAGAGGCACTGGACACCCTGAGCCCCGAGGGAAGAGCTCCACTTGCATCAGTCACCTCCAAAAACTGGAATACACCAAGGTTTCCAGCAGCTTCACCTGGGACAGAGGCCCCAGATGTGGCACCAGTGCCCAGGACTTTGCCACTTTGTCCCAACCAAACTCCCAAGCAGAGCAGACACAGGATGTGGCTCCATGGTGGGAGCTGACCCTCACCCCAGTGTGGTCCTGAGGAGCAGACAGGACCCTCTCCCATTCCCCTTCCTGCTGGTGAGTGGCCTTCAGGGATGTGCATCCACAGTTCCATCATTTCGGCTTCCCCTGAACGGGCACTTAGCTTGCACCTGCAGAGCATCTGGGTTTTTATGGACAATGGATATTGTTATGCCATGGGAATTTGCAGGGGAACAGGGAATTTTAGTCCAAACAGCTTATAACTCCAGAAAGACAAAAACAAAGTCAAAGCTTCTATTTTATCAACTCTTATTTTATTCATTTATAAATACTGTTGTGTTTACAAGCATCATAGCTGTGAATATTATTCCCAAACTTTCAAACACATAATACTTATAATACTATATAACAACAACCAGTAAAACAAATTCATTCATCTCAGGGTTTGAAAGGCCACTCAAAAGTTGCATAAAAATACATTCTCTCCCCATCTCATCAGCTAGTCCTGCTTCTCCAAGAGTCTATTTACAAAGAGCCATCATCAAACTCGCAGCTACAACAGGTGGGTTCACCCCAAGCAATAAAAATGAAGTCACCCCAAGCAATTGCTTAGAAAAAGAAGCTTGTGCTCCCCAAGGGAACACTTCTGGCAAATGCTCTGGTTCCAAGAGGGATCAGATTAAAACCTGCTCGCTCCACACCCTGCCCAAGGGTGCAGGGTGTCCTGTTCGTCACCTCCTCAGTGCACTGGTTACGTCAGGCATGAAGTGAGACCAGAAAGAATTCATTCTCCACAATTTGGTTTGCAGTTGCTCCGACATCGCGGAACACTCACAGCTTTGGCTGCTCAGGGACGCTGAGCCGTGGGGCTCACCCCCCATCAGGGCTCAGGGGAATCCAGTGCTATGCAGACACTTCAGCTAAAGTGGTTTGGCTTTGCAAGGTGCCAGGCAGAGGAATGAGCCTCCCACCCCTTCCTGTACTGTTCCTCAGGGAAAAACGCAGGGAGTGTCCTGGTTAGGAAGGGGCAAAACATCAGTGCGCGATGGATTTGTCAGGTTGGGTTGAACCCTCTCCCTAAAACACACACCAGGCTTCTTCCCACTGCCAGGAACTCGCTAGGAGAACAGGAGCTGAGCTCTCACGCCCATCCTGCCGGGACGCAGGGCCCGAGTCACCCACCACCACCACCCAGTGGGTGAGCACCTCCCCCTCCGCTGCCCTCCCGGCCGGAGCTGAGCCCGGCGCCGAAGCGAGGAGCAGGTCACCAAGAGAGAACACATCAAGAACGGCAGAAGTACTCACATGAAGAGTGCACCAAGAGGGAACGGCGTGCAGGGAAGCATTGACTGGATCTCAAGACTTAAAGCTGTTAAATATAGCAGGGTTAAAATAAAGGACTATAAAAAGGATGCCTGGCTTAGGCAGTGCTCTGCAGAAACCCTGATGCCTTTACCAGCTTTGGTCTCTTCCTCCCAAAGCTCAGCAGCAGAGGAAGGGCCTCAGTGTACCAGGAGAAACGGCTTCTCACGCCGCGCGAACGGCTCCGACGGCTGAGGAGGAACCTCTGGCCAGAGCTGCCTGGGGAAAACCAGCAGCTCTAGGAAGAGCAAAAGAGGTGGAAACAGGCAGGACGGGGAGGGGAAGGGGGAAAAAATGGAGAATCGGGCCAGGGAAAAAAAATCCCAAAGGAAAATACCCAAGGGAGAGGACATAAAGATGGTTTCTGGGGCAATAACCACAAAAGGTTCCAAAAAGCCCAGGATTGACCAACAGAGATCAATTTTACCCTGTTGAGCAAACTCAAGTATTATGCTCATGTTCAAGTATCTCATCTCTCTCTCTCTCACAGCAGAGTCCCCCAGTCCACCATCAGCAGAGGTGCCTGGGAGCATGGGCAGAGCTGCCTCAGGGTCACTTCCAGGTCCTACGGCCAAGACTGCAGCCCTTGGCCAGACAGAGAGGGGAGTCCAAGGGCAAAGGGAATGAAAGGACAAATCTGGGAGGCTGTAGATGGGAGAGTGGTTTGGATACAGCCCCAAGAGGGAAGGTATCGTTCAAGAGGAGTCTGTTAAGGGAAAACTCAACAGACCTGATGACAGGTCCCACAGCATGGAGAGGATCCACTGTCTAAATGCCCACGGAGCGAACAATTCCAAACTGTTCTGAGTGCATATAACATTAAAGAGGGGTATTTCTGGAGGTTTCCTTCAAGGTCAAGGTTTATCACACATTTTTGACAGGTAAGAGGACTCATCACGGTGATTCAGTTCCCAGCAGCTCCTTGTCCCTCTGACACTGACGCACTCTCACCTTTCCGAGGCGCGTGGGAGGACAAGTGATCACTGCTCCATGCTCCTCTGCCTTGGAACCAGCTGTGCCAAGCTGCTCACCAATAGAAGAGGGTGGGACAGGACTCTGGCATTGCCTCTCTCTACAAATCCTGCTGCAAATCCAAGAGAGGTACCCAAAACACCAGGCCAGGCTCCCCTGTGGGGCTCTGCCTTCATGGAGGCAGCAGGAGAATGTCCCAGAGGACTGTCAGGAGGGGGAGGCTGGTTTCTGCTGGGCACAGCTCTCTGTGAGCTGATTCACTGTCACACACATGTGAGAGCAGCAGAGGGTCTCTAGGGGTTCAAGCTTGTCCTTCAGGAAGCTTCAGACAAGTACCTGTGACACATTCTGTCCCGAGGAGCAAGAGTCCAGGTGTGATTGGATGCTGCCAATTACAGAGACAGGAGGACACAACGTGACACAGAACCACCCAGGCTGCAGGGGAAGGGATAAGGGTCTGATGCTGAGCTGATGTTACTGAACAGGTTCAAAATCTTAGCTTAAATAAAAGACTCTGCTGGGGCGAGAGGAGGAGAAGGTGTCTGTGCAAAGCAGCTGCTCAGCCCGTGACAGACATCAGCCCTGGTGGCTTTCACAGCATCACATTTTAACCAGAGTCCCACGTCTCGGTGGGTTGAGGTGCATCCTCAGAGTTCACATTTCCCACCTGTACAGGGCTTGGATATGCTGGATTCAGGTGTCACTTTTGACAGGAGGAGCTTCCCACTCCAGGTCGGAGTCCAACACCACATACTGGGCTTCTGGCAGAAGTTTTGGCAGCTCAAACCCAGTCCTCACGTTTCTCCCTTGACTAAAATGTCTGAGATACCACAACATGCTTCAATTAAAAACAACAAAATGGCAGGGCCATGTGTGTTGGGGGGAACAGGGCAGAGAGGGAATGTACAGCAAAGGGCAGGGCAGGTGTGACATTGATCCCATGGCTGAAACACCTGCTGTACGTGGTGGGAGGGAAGGGGTAGGGCTCGTGGTGGGTTGGCAGCTGGTGTAGGACACCCCTCCTCGTCCTGCCTGTGCTCAGGATTCCTATTTGGAGAGTTTGCTGATGACACGAATGAGGGCTCCGTTCTCGTCCTTCAGCCTTTGGTTGTCTGACTTCAGCTCTGTCAAAATCTGCAGAGAGACAAAGACAAGGTGGGATCAGAGCTCGGCTCAGAGGGGCCAGAGGGGACATTGCATCTCCTCCAGCCACAACACTTCCATTTCTCCATAGCATCTCCAGAGCTTTCACAAGCTGCAGGCACAGAGGGGTGGGGGGACTGGAGCACAGCACAGAGCCAGGGAGCCCTGAGCCAGGAAGCTCGTGGTGCGAAGCGATGCCACAGCCCCAGCAGCAGCTCAGGACCAGCCCAAACCATTGCTGAGCTGTTTCATCCCGAAGTTGTGCCCAGAGGCTAATCAGAACTCAGCAGAACATGATAAAGCTGGTTCTCCTGAATTGTTTCCATTTTGCCATGACTAGAGGGGAAACAAAAGGTCTGAAACTCTCACTCAGGCCTGGACCTTGCAAAATCTCTTTAGAGTAACTGCAGACCTCCTTGGGACCCCTCAAGGGGTTTGCCCCTGTGTCTAACACGTGCTGAGGCCAGAGGACTGGTAGAACACATTGACACTGGAGGCACCTCCTGGCTGCTCATTTTTGAATGCTGGAGCTCAACCTAGGGTTGCAACACAGACAAAAGTCCAAGCACTTTTCATGGGAAGTAGAGAAGAAATAGCTTCAACAAGATCCTTCCAGCATTTCTCACTGGCATAAACCCTCCTGCCTGTGCTCCCCACATTGCAGCTGAGTGGCCTTCAGTGGACTGTGCCCAGCTGCTGGGGCACTGAAGGAGACTCTGTGGTCCAGTTCCAGGGTGGGACTGGCACACAAGGGGTCAGTCCCACCATGGGTGCCAGCAGAGGGCAGGGTGACCAGCCCTGAGCCTGCTGGAGCACACCAGGGTCACACATGGGCGCAAATGCCACGGGCATAAGCTCAGCCACGACCTCTCTGCCAAGGTGGATCTTGGAGGAATTTCCCCAAATTCAAAGTCCCCACTAGAACTTCTCCCTCCTAATCTGGAGCTCCAGCTCTGCCCACAACATCCTGCCTGCTCCCCTGACCTGCAGCCCCTCCAGGACCACCAGCACCGAGCGCTGGCAGCTCCCGAGGCAGTGCCGGAGCAATTCCCTCCTTCCAGTCAGGTCAAGCCCCAGTTACCCAACCCCATCCCTGTGGGCACTGCTGGTGGATGCTCCAGGGAGGAGGTTTTGCCAGTGAGAGAGGAGGGGACAGTGCAGCATGGGGGGATACTGGGGAAAGGGTAAATCCATGTGCGGGGCTGGCCAGAGCTCCAGCCAGTGATGATCGAAGTGTCTCCCCTGACCCAATAGGGTGTGACAGGCACATCACCACGGCTGGTCTGTCACCAGAACAACACTCATGGCTCCTGATGACATTTCTTACGGCTGAAGGAGAGGCATTGTCACCACCAAAGTGCTTAGGAGCTCAGAGACATGGGAGAGCCCTTGCTGTCTCTGCACTCCTGTTTCCTCCTGAGCTTCACCTACCACCCATGGCACAGCCTGGTGCCTCCCAGTGCATTATGACAGCTCAACCACCCTGTGTGGATGGACAGCCCCTGTTCTCCTGTGTCACTGCCTGGGGTGGCCCCACAGTGCCCATCACTGCAGTAAGACAGGGAAGAGAAGTCCTGCCACTCGCTCTGGTAGAGAGAATCTGTCCCAGGTTCCCAGAGGGGACATCACAGAGAACCACCCTAGCCCCACAGCTCACTGGGAGCTCTGACAGTGGCTCTGCCTCACACATGTGCTTCACGCGCTTCAATGACTTATTTGACAACAAAGGAGAGTAAGTACCTGTGAAGTAAGTACCTCTGGACCAGTCTCCTGGGGTAACCTCACTCCGTCAGTGCCCAGTGAGGCTTTCTGAAAGCTACACATCAACCTTACACAATCTCACCCCTCTTGAGCCAAGGGTGTTCCTCCCCTCGAGCAGAGTGGCCTCAAGCTGGGTAAACTGAACCCCATGAGAACAGGCTGGTAGGGCTGGGGCTGGAAATAAGTCTCATGGAGTGGTGAGGAGGGATGTGCCCCAGCCCCAGGGACAGCAGGGCTGACAGTGTTACTTGTGACGCAGAACACAACTCCTCACAAATGATGTGGATTTGGGAAAGCGAGACTCTTTGAACAGCATCACTGCTGCTAGAGAGTGGGACACCTGGCAGAGGTTAAACCAGTGACATCACACTAGAGCTGTGATCCCACAGACCCCACGGAGATGGTTACAGGTCCCAGCAACACCCTGTGTGAGACCTACTGAAAGAGCTGAAAGTAAATCGGCAGAGCTTGCAGGCACTTGGCTCTTCCCCAGCTCAGAGCCAGCAGGGAATTGCAAACATGAGAGGAGAAAGGGATGAGCCCAGCATGGCTCAGCCAGACAGGGCAGGTCAGAGCAGAGCAGGGAAAGCAGGGGAAGGGGTAACGTGGGCATTTCTAGGGCAGAGAAGAGAGAAAGGTGATTTGCAGGTGTTGAAACATCACTTCTTTGAGTCTGGAAATGGTTTTGCCCAGTTTTCCCTCTCAGATCTCAAAGCACATGGGGAAGGAGAATGACTTAAACTTATGGCTTGTGAGATGGAGTGAGGCAGGGACCGGATGGAGGATACTTTAGCATATTTAAACCACAAAGGCAGTGAGATCATTTCACCTGACGATCTGCACAATCCAGGGCACACAACACAACACTCCTCTCTCCCAGCCCTGTGACACACACATGGGCTTGAGCTGAGACTCCAGGAAAGGGGAAGCCACAATTCCCCTGACTGGTTTGTTTCCATGGTTAATCAGCCTTGCTATAATTTGTGTGCTAAGAATAGATTTTTTTCATACCTTGGTGCCACTTCCAGCACACAAGAGCACATGGCTCCTCTCTGAGGGGATCTGAGCATCCCTACTAAGCTGCAAAGGACAGGTAGGGCCCTAGGAAAGGAGCACTTACAGCTTTATTTTAGCACTGCACCAATGAAGGAGCAGGAGGGGATGTAATTTAACTGTGTGATATGCAAGGGCAAAACTTAGGGAAGGCTCATCCTTGGGTTTCAAACACTCATTGCCCTGCACTGGGAGATGAAAACTGGAAGTGCTCCTGGTCCAGCTTCTGCTGGGCCCCTGTCCTGTGCCAGCCCAGAGGAGGCAGGAGGGATGCTAAGCCTGTGGACTCAGACTCAAACATCTCAGTTTAAAAAGAGGGAAGGAGCTTGTCCTCTTTGCTCAAGTGACCAAGAAAAGCTGCTGAGGACAGCCCAGCTCCAGTTTTTCTCTTAGTCCTTTCTGTGTTTAAAACATGCACTTTTCACAATATCCATACAACTCATGGCACTTTTCATCCTGACTTTGGATAATCTGATTTGCTGAGTGCCAACTTCTCCCTGAGCTAAGTCCAGTTAAAAATGAATCCTATTACGGGCAGATAGGTAGCATAAACCACCCATTTTCATGTGTTCCAGGCCAGGCTGGCCAGAGCTTGGAGCAACCTGGGCTAGTGGAAGGTGTCCCTGCCCATGGCAGGGAGTTGGATGAGATGACCTTTAAGGTCCTTCCAACCCAAACCAGTCTGTGGGTCAATCTTGATGCAAGATATCAGGGGAGAGGCTGCTGGCACTGCCAAGCCACCCCAAAGCCATTTCCCAGTGCTAAGCTGGCAAGGTCAGCAGCACCTGCCAAGCAGAGCAAGAGCCAGCAGGATGAGCAGAGCTGGAGCACAGCCCTGCCACGGCAGCAGCACCATGCCAAGGGCAGTCACAGGGCTCCTTGCCACAAGCTTTGGAGCCACAAGCTTCACCAGACACCCTGGAGAACATCCGGCCATGGGAGCGGAGACCTGCCTGGAAGAGTGGAAGAGGGAGGCAAGATGAGCCGGAGGGAAAGCAGCTACAGCTCCTCTGACTCCGAGGGCTTGGGGGGCAGAGACAGTCTGGCTACGACCCGGGTCAGAGCCCTGTTCTCAGCCAGCAGTTGCTCATTCATCTGCCTCAGAGTGTGAATCTGTTTGAGCTGGTGGAGATTCTGCAGAGAGGGAGAGGAGTGGACAGAGAAATACAGAGACACCACGGAGACAGACGGGCACAGGAACGGGAATTCAGTCCACAGGCAGTGAGAGAAAAAAGAGAGGAAAAGAAAACTCAGGAGCAGTGAGTGCTGGGTGGGGAAAGCCTGACAGCACACCCAGGGTGTTCTGGGAAACATCCCTTTCTCCGGGGGCCTCCAAAGCCTTTACAAAGGTCAAATACAGGGATTTCCCACCACAAAGGAGGATTATATTCTAGTTTACCCCCCCAGCCCTGGCACTTGGGAACTGCTGTGAGACCTATCACCGTTGACTTACCACCTACACAGGCTCTGAAAGCACTGCTGGGAACAGAGAACGTCTTTAAAACTCCTTTTCTTCAAGTATCTCTGAAAGCTAAAGCAGCTGTGTGGAGCAAAGAGCGACTAGAGCTTTGTGGGAGATTCTAAAGACACAGACTGAAGCACCTGACAGTGTTACTGTCCCACAGCAGATCACCAGGACAGGGACCGGGTCTGCTCCTGTCCCTCACCCCTGAGTGATGGCTCCTGGGTCTGCCCAAACATCTGGGATTTGGGGGCTTTGCATCCCTGCCCAGACTGAGCTCTTCTCTGTCACAGGGCTCAGTTCACCTCTGATCTTCAGAGGGGACAAGTCAGAACCATAAACTGCTCGTTTTAGCCAGAGGAGTCTGGATGAGAGCATCTCCCACAGGAGGGACCTGCAAGCATGGAGTCCTGGTGGCACAGGCAGCTCTGGGCACAGGCCAGTACACAGATCTGGGGCTTGCACAAGTACAAACTGGGTACAGGGACAAACTGGGCACAGGGACAAACTACACAGGTACAAACTGGATCTTGCACAGGTACAAACTGAGGCTTGCACAGGTACAAACTGGACCCTGCAGAGGTACAAACTGTGCACAAACTGGACCCTGTACAAGTACAGCAGCAATGGGAGATCTGGAAGAGAAAAGCCATGAGGGAAGCAGAACATGGAAACAGCCATGCAGACGTCCCAGTCCCACAGGGATGACACTTTTCCCAGTGATGCAAAAGCCAATCCCTGTGCTGGACATTCACACCACTGTGGGTGCCAGGAGATGCTGAGGGCTGAGGAGCTGCTTCCTCAGAAGTATCCTGACCCTCCTTCCTCCTGACAGCTTGTCAGGCAGCAGGTCCAGGAGAACAAGAACCCTCCTGAACAAGAACCACTCCTGCTTGTTGGAGGGAGCTCTGACACTGAGCAGGGGAAGGCAGGAAGGAAAATATCCATGAGAAGAGTTTTAAGTTCAAGTGACAAAATCCCAGCCCTGAACCAAAGCAGCTCCACAAAGCTCCATGCTCCTTCCCACATCCCCTTGTGAGCTCACAGCAGCAGGAGGAGACAGAGGGAAGGGTTTGTTGGGCAGGGGGTTCCTTTTTGCCATTTCATTAGCAGAAACCACTCAAAGGTAGGTCATTGTCTCTCCTGAACACAGAGCAGCACGAAAAAATCTACTGCAACACAAAGAACCTGCATGACTTGGGTTGCCCAGAGCAGTTGTGGTTGCTCCATCACTGCAAGTATTCCAGGCCAGGTTGCACGGGGCTTGGAGCAACCTGGGCTAGTGGAAGGTGTTCCCTGCCCATGGCAGGGGGTGGAATGAGAGGATCTTTAAGGTCCCTTCCAACCCAAACCAGACCTGGAGCTGCAGCTGACAAGGAATCTGCTGCATCCCAGGACATTTTGTCACAGGTCTCATTCCTGTACAAAGTACTTTGCATACCTCCCATCCATCAGCTCCATTCTCAGCTACCCAAAAGCACAACCTCTGCTCCTCATGAAGTAATCAAGACACCTCATTAAAAAGCCTTGCAACATCAACAGAATCAAGGCAGGGAGTGCAGGGAGCCAGCAAAGGATGAGGTTTGAACCCCCTGAGATCATCAGACTGATAAAGCAGCTTCTTGGACAATGACAATGGAATTCTGACACTGGGTAAATCAACAGGTCCTGAGACAGAGCTATGGACAACAAAGTGCAGGAAAGCTGCAGGAAGAGCTCATCAGCTCACCATATCACATCACATGCGTCCATCCATCCATCCATCCATCCATCCATCCATCCATCCACCCCTTCACCCGCCCACGCTGTGCCAGCTGCCCCTGTGCTCGGTGAGGGCAGACAGACATGGCACATCCTGTGATACATTACACCAAGAGCCACTGGAGGATGGCTGTACTGCAAGAGTCACTTCTTTTGGTGGTACCAAAAGTGGCTGAGGGCACTTGGTCTGTTTAGCCTGAAGAAGAGCAGTCTGAGATCAGACCTCACTGGTGTCTGCAGCTTCTTCCTAAGGGGCAGTGCAGGGACAGCACCAATCTCTGCTCTCTGTGACCAGTAACAGGACCTGAGGGAACAGCTGGAGCTGTGTCAGGGGAAGTTTAGGCTGGATATTGGGAAAAGGTTGTTCCCCCAGAGGTGTCTGGGCACTGGAACAGCTCCCCAGGGCAGTGGTCACAGCCCCAAGGCTGACAGAGCTCCAGGAGTGTTTGGCCAATGCTCTCAGGCACAGGGTGGATTGTTGGGGTGTCCTGTGCAGGGCAGGAGTTGGACTGCTGATCCTTGTGGGTCCCTTCCAGCTCAGGAATATGATACCAAGGATAATGATTTATCACAGGGCTCACAGCTGGCAGAAAACATCCAGTCTTTGTAGAACGTGGTGTCCTGCTACGCAAGGTGGAAATAACTGTGATCATTCAGTGACCACCTCTGTGCATCCACACCAACACAGCACGGAACCTCAGCACGGCCCCATCAGCTGCTGCTCAGCCTCAGCACACTGTGCAGCACACAAAAAGGATCATTTCTGTAGAGATGTGTGTCTGCTGCAGGTAGGCCATGCTCCTATTTGTCCAAGAAACCCAGCAAGGCTGGGAAGCTGGGACTGAAGCCAAGGGCGAAGACCAGGATCTGGATGATACTGCTGTGATTGCTTATCACTCTGCTTGACACTTGGCTTAGCAAAAGCAGGTTTCTCAGTTCAGCTGGACCTGCCTTCCATTAGAGGATTTTGTGCCTGCAACACTGGGGGAAATAAAAGTGCCTGGAGCATACAGGATGGCTGAGGAACTGCAGTGCTGCCATGGAATACAGGAGCTTCTGTGACCTTCAAGAAGAATTGCTGTGTTAAGTTGGGACCTCAGGCACTTGGCACTGAATTCAGCTCAGTGCAAAGGCTAATTTTCTTTCTCCTGCCTCAGCCAAGGTGCTGCATCTCCAGTTGAATTGTGTGGGCACTCAGGGAAATGTTGCACTGCTCTGTCACCTTCACAAAGAGCAGATCTGAGGAGCAGCTCTGCCACCAAGGAGGTCTTGAGATGACAGAGCCTATCCTGCTCCTCTCCACTTCTTTGCTAGCAGAGGTTCCAAGAGAGGAACAAAGCTCATTACCTCAAAGCACAACCTCAAGTACAAAGCATTTCTGTCGCCTGTGCCCACTGTGGTGCCTACTCTTCTTCAGCAGGCAGCTGCAAGGAGAGCAGAGCCCTGGCCAGGACATGTGATGTGCAGGGCTGGACACAGACACCCCCAGATCAAACAGCTGCATGTGAGCCTTGCTGGACCAGTTGGACTAGTGGGAAGAAGCCCTCAAACAACCTGAGCCCTAATCACCTGACAGGTTTGGTTGTTTCCACATGCTGCTCTCCACGTTGAAGGAAACTGCTGGCTCTGCATATTCCTTCACAATTCCTTGCCTATTCCTCTCTTCACAC